ATATCTGGATAAATAGTTGTGTCTAATAAATTGAGATATTCATTGAAGGTCATTCCTTTTGAAATAAAATATATAAGTGCGATACAATGGTGAGCACACGTGTTTGAAGAAAATGATTGATAGGGGTTTACATTTCTAACAATTTTTGAAAATTTTTTGAGAAAAGGGTAAAGTATGCATATGCTAGTAGGTAGTGAGAGACTGTCAAAGTACATTACTTCTTTACTTCCTTTCTTGAAAAGAATAACCACCCAATGAGATCCTTCAAAATCATGAGGATCCAAGTTCACAACTAATGCATTATAAATTGTATCTATCGATGTAGGGTTTGGGAGTCGGTCACACGGGAAGCAACCTCGAAATATTTTGTTTGTTTGAGGATTCGACTTTAATATATGGGTAATTTGATGATTGTTCATTTCTTAATATAAAAATTTGATTGGCTTTGCTTAAATAAATTACCTTTCTCCTAAATTTCCAAGTTCCACTCTCTCTAATTCACTATCCTTATTTTTAAGTGGAAGCACAAGTTTAAACCAAAAAATTGAACGTAACTGATAAATTATGAGACTAATTATAAAGAGAATATATAAACATATCATTCCCCAACAAAAAATGTGTCCTAACAAACTATCATCTGCTGGCTTTTCTTTACAAAGTTGTATTTGGGGAAAATATCCAAAAGGGTTCTTATCCATTTCTAAATTCTGAGACAAAAATGGGGCTTGCGCTCCAAGGACAATAGGTTTTAGAGTACTTAATTGTTTTATGTATTCGGAATATTCTGGTAAGTCATGTAAATAATCCGTTGTTTGAACACATGGAATAAAAATTCTAATTAAAAAAATTATAATAGATATTTTATTCATTTTTTGAAATAATTTTACAACTATGAAAAATTTTGAAAATTAAATGATTTAAATAGTTGTATCACTGGCTATCGTTCGATTTTTGTCTAGCATTATGAGTGAATCTACCTCCCCCATAACCACTAACATTACACCACCATCTGGAACAGCATTACTAAATTTTATATTCACTGCTGTTGTTCCATTTTTTATTAAATCAAATGTCCCTGCATTATCTTCTCCACTATTTGTTAGGTTAAAAACGTAAATACAATGTGTTTTTCCAAATTGATTATAAGTTATCCCATTTCCTTCTGAAGAGTTTGAAAACCCTATAGCATCATTCATATCATTAAACCCTCTTACATATTTTTCTTTACTATAATCAAAATCATAAGGGGCTTGGGGGTAGCTGCGCCCGTTAGCTATTATACTGATTTCTCTCACATCAAAGGGTTGGAAATTAAAAGGACTGCGGGTTAACGATCCTACATAATCTGAGTTTGCAACTAGACCAAGAGTAACTCGTCGTGGAATTTGGTCCATAAAAAGATTAGCGTTGAATTCGTAGCGACCTTGACTGATGAATAAAGGTTTCATCATAGTTTTCCTTATTGAATATCGAGCTGGTTTTAATTCTAGTCTTCTAGCTATATCAAGAGATAAACTATCCATTATATCAACTTTTTTAACATATAACTTGCAACTAATCACTTCGAAATTATATATTTTTTGGGTTTCTTCGTTTGTTGGTGCTACTACAACAAACTTTGTATCATTTGGTAAAATTTCAATATCTATTTCACACTGATTTATAAGGTAAAGTGGTTGATTAAAAATGTCCGCATCTAACTTTGCCATAAACTGAGCTGTCTTACTATAAGAAAATAGGGTTTTCCTCTCAATATGCCCTTTACCTCCCTCTAAATCTGTAGATTGGTCGTAATAATATCCTGCAGAATTAAGATGAGAAGTCTTAGCATTTTGTGAATATGATAATTCGTGAGAAAAATATGTTTTATATGCGTATAATGAATTTGCATTGAAAACTTCCCTACCATTAATACTTACACGCATATTATTGATAAATGTTTGTCCTATTAATTGAATAGGAGCTACATTATCCGTTGCTTCCAATTTTTTTAATTTTCCATCTTGGTCCTCTTTTTTTATTCGAAATTCCGTAAAAATATAACATTTGGATAAATCGATATAATTTTGACTAGAATGAATTTTAAAGTGGTATGGTGTATCTGTAAGGGGATTACTAGTTAAAATCTCAAAAGTTTTTGAAGAGGAAATGCTCACATTTGTTGGAGGGACTTGGAAAAAATCCAAAGCATTTGTTATTGAATTAATACTATCACTATCTATTTTATGAAATGCCATTTTTTTAATATAATCCAAATGCGTCTGAACGTAATCTTTTCTTCAATGGTTTACCAATAATTGTTTGATAATTGGGTATTTTCTTTTTAATTTTCCTTTTTATACCAGAACCAAATTGTTTAGGAAGACCTCCTCTTTCTAAAATTGTATCAATTCCTTTCTTGCCTTCACTAACAAAAGCTTCTTTTATTGGTTCGCCTTGGCTAACTTTTTCTAATACTCGTTGACCTGTATTTATCGCTTCTTCCTTAACACTGCTTCCAACTTTACGCATTATAGGGAGGAAGAAACGCCACAATCCGCGCATAACATCTCCTACACCCGCACCTCTTTGCCCATATCCTCTTTGAAAGGGTGCTGCTCCTTTAAAATATAAATTTTCATTTTCTAATCCACTACCTTTTTGATCATGACTGACAAAGTCATCGTAACCTATTGTACTAGTATCAAATATAACATGAACCATTATTTTTTATTAATGAATTTTAAAAAAATAATTGAAGATGAAAAATTAAAAATTAATCACTTTCTTAAATATCAAAACGATGAGCACTGTTCCGTAAGAAAAAGGAACAAATCGCCCATTATCCATCGTTCTTAGCTCAATTTCAATTTCATTAACTTCCCTGGGGAGAACCTTTGCGTAAATCGGTGTGTCATAAATATTCTCATTATAATCGCCTGGAGTTGCTCCTGCTACCGAAACAACACGTAGTAATGAGCTCAATGTATTTCCTATAATCACATTTTCTGTAAGTCCTTTAGTATAAACCGCAAAACTTGAAAATCCACCCTTCAAGTCACATCCATATTTTGCTATTTCATTGTTATGAACCATAAGAGGATTTTCGAAACCAAGAACATACCCAAGCTGAGGTGAAAATGATATGTATTTAATAGCTGGGTGATTCAAAGTTACTTTAAAACGATCAAAATCATTGAGAAAATTGATTGTAACAGAGTCTATTATTTTTTCTTCATAGTATCATCTAATTTACCAATTTTTCCATACTGTCTTATGAGAGCCGGCATATTTTCCCTATAATTTTCCCTTATAGCTTTTGTTGGCTTTCTTTTTATTATCATAGTTAAAATTCGTTCCATCTCTTCTGTCCACATAGGATCTCTATATTCTCCTTTTAGTGCTTCAGGCTTTGGTAAATCTGGAAGCGGAGAAGTAGGTGGGAACTTAATTGGCGAAGGTGGACGTATTTTTTCAGGAGAAGCGGAGCTAAGATTTTTCTGTGGTTTTGTAATAGGTGAATATTGATTTTCATCAGCTGTGGGAATTTTGGGTGGATGTGACAAAAGTCGTTCTTGAACCGGAGGAAGTGGTGGAGAAGGTTGTTGAGCTGGAATAACAGGTCTAACATCTTCTTTAGTCGGAGAAGGCGTAACAGATTGAGATTCTTCAAGAGAAATTTGTGGCAAAATGGGAGATAATGGTTTTTGTTGACCGGGGGGTTTAGTTTGAGGGAGAGATTGAGGCAACGTGTTTTGAGTAGGTAACGGAGGAGCCCAAAATATCTTTTCTTCTTTGTACCTATCAATACCCTCATATTCTAGAGCTATAAATCTGTCTCTTCTATAACCAGCTAATTTAGAGAGATTATCAATTTTATTTTGCAATTCCTTCTTCTCTTCAGCATTCGAGGAATTTTTGTAAGCTGATTTTGTTTCATTGATCTCTTGATATAAATCTAATAAACTGCTAAAATTATTTTGTATTGATGGCCAATATTCTGCACTACTCTTATTAAGAAAGAACTCATCAACAAACACCGAATTGTATTCCCTATTCTCATCCAATGATTTTTGCCTCTCTCTCCTTATTACCTCACCTTGGAGTATTCTTAATCTACTTATCATCTTTTCAATCTCAATTTTGCGTTTATGAAATTTTGGATCCGATTCTCCTTTCTTCTCATTTTCAATTATATGACCTATTAATTTGTAATGCTCTTCGGCTAGATTTTCATTGTAATTGTCGGGAAAAATTTCAAAATACTCATCAATAACATCACCGTAAAAGGGAGTTTTCTCTAGATCTCGTCTCCTTGCTTCAACTGAAAGTTTTTCTATACGAGCTCTTTCCAAATTCTGTTTACTATCTAGATATGCAAGAGTTTTTATGTATTCACTTTTCCTGGATTCATCTGGTTCACGATTAGTTATACCTCTAAATTTGTCTATTTTCTTTTGCTCTTCGTCAAAAGTGACCCTTAACTCGCGTATTTTATCCCAATAATTGTCTGGATTATCAATAAATATATCATCTGTTACTGGACGAATTTTTTCTTTGATATTTTTTTCGGCATCTATCGATCGTTTCTTTGGTGCTCTTACTGTAGGTCTATCAACTAATTCTTCTGGCCTCTCTAAAGGTGAAGCATCAAATGCATCTCTCTGTTGAATTAATGTTGATACTAAGAAACTATGAAGCTCTTCAACAGTTTTATGTGAACCAGGTGGAACGGGAATTCTAAGAACTTTGGCATTTCCTTCACTTGCTGTAAAATGTACGTCTATCCATTGGTCATCTAATGTTCCTATAGTTGATGGCCACGAGTAAGGATAATTTATACTATGTAATCCGCATACCCAATTTCCTGAGAAGTATAGTGGTTTAGGTAAGTGGACTCTGAATTTGTTTGGTCGATTATCTGGATAATCTGGGACATTACTAGGAAGAAACACAAAAAATGTATTTGACATTTTTATTTAAAATATTAAAATATTTACAAATGAATATAAATTGATCTTTTATACTAATTGATTTTCTTGTATCCATTCTTTTTCCGGGTATCCAATAAATTTGACCAAGAGTTCGTATGTTCCTTCCGGTGTTTTCCTTTTCCTAAAAACTTTTTCAATCCGATATTCTGTGTCAGCATCCTTGCGAACTTTTGAAAGTTCTTCACTATAGAATGAACCTTTAAATTTTTCACCTTTACCATCGCGCAATTTGTATTTTACGGGTCTAGATTCTTCTTTAACTTTATCGACTGTTAATATTTCATCCCCCCAATTTGGTATATATCCTTTTTCAGAGACCCCTTTTCCCACAGCCATACGTACAAAATCTTCTTTTTTCAATTTGGGTTTATTACTTCCTTTTAGAATTCTTTTCTTTGTTAAAAGTTCATCTTTCCCGTATATTTTCTCCCATACTTCCTGCGCATTCTCGAAATTAACGTCTATAGGCCGCATTCCATGAACTCTGCTTTTTGATTTATTAATACCTTCGAGAATTTTTTGAATTACATCCACCCAATTTAATGTTTTATACTGGGAAAAATATCTATAAAGACGCTGCTTCACATTACGAATTGCCCTTTCAGCTAGTGAAGCCTTGACTATAGAGTGCGTAGCTTCAAGTTTTTGAATATCTTCTTTTTCAAAAAATTCTTTCATATGATTATTTTTAAATTCTGTTCCCTTATCCGAAAAAATTCTGTGTGGTTTCATAGGCATCTGGCTAATTAGTTCCTTAATACTTTCCATCATTTCATCCATTTTCTTAGATTTTACGGGAATACCAAAAACTCTTTTTGAAAGTACATCAATTCCAAGTAGTAAATATCTATACCCTTTATTATGTCTTGATAATTGTTGAAAATCTCTAGGTCAATCTGAACATCTGTCATAAAACCTGAAGCCACTGTTTTTGATCTTTTAAAATGTATACGTTTGGGACGCATAAGTGTATAAGTCCTATGTCCTTGTAGGTAATCCTCAACTACTTTTTTGGGAATATTTTTCGAAACTTTTTTAGCCTCATGCCATAGTCTATCTACTCCTGAAAATGCAGCAGCCGAATCCGGATCATTATAGAGATTGTGTAGTAATTTTTTAATATCTATCATTTTTACTTCCACACGACCGGTTTAAATCTATTTATAGGTTTTGGTCTTCTAGTTGATGGTTTTCTCAGGGCCCATCTACCTGTATTTAATCTCTTAGGGGTTGAACTTGCTGGTTTTTTAATAATTTGTTTAGTTTCATCTTTTGGTATTTTGTATTCTTGTGGTAATGACACAGATGGTTTGACATTTACAGAGGTGGGGGTTGAGGGTGTATGATATGAAGGTGAAGAAAAATCATGAGTCCACATATCATCCTCATCTGTTATACTTGTGGAAGGGCGAGCTGCAATACCTTTTGAACTAGTAACCATTTCTACTTTTACAGGTCTATTCTGCCTTTCATTTCGCATTTGTAAATACCTTCTTAACTCTTGATTGTATTTAATATTTTTACTAGTTGAATTTTCCTTTGATTTTTTTGATTTCTCTACACCTCTTCTAACAAAATCTAAGTTTGGTTCGCCTGTGTCCTGACTAGTAAGACCCCGATAAATTTCCTCTGGAACAAGAATAAATTTGTTCGCCATTAAAAATTCTTTTAATTTGTTCCTTTTATATTTCCAATTGAACGTGCCAGTTCCATAAGAACAGGGGTAATAAGTGCAGCAAATACTTCTATTCCTGTACCTTTTTGTCGCAATATTTGCCTTGCCCCTCTTTCACTTCTAGCTCGACTCATTTGGCGAACAAAATTTATATGCGGCATTAATCTTTTCTTTTGGCGTGCATTTAATTGTAGTCGCGATTTTACCACGTTTAAACAAATTTCTGCTATTGCTAATAATTGATTTGTATTTGATAATTTTATAAGTCTCCTTTTCTTTCTTTCTGACTTTGTTTTTGACAATTCTTTTAGAAAATCAATATTTTCCTGAATAAGTTGGCTGACCATATCTATACACCGTTTTTTGGAATAAAAATATTTTTTTCTTCGTCTTCCTTAAATATATTTGTACGAAGCCTCAACCCCGGATCAGATGAAGCATGCATATCGATTAGTAAATATCCATAAGGAACATTAGTTGCCTGTCTATATGCGTCTAAAAAGTAATCCAATTTCCTAGGAAAAAGTTGTACTCCTATATTTCTAACAGATAGAGCTGAATTAGGAGAGCGCATAATAATTATGTATTGAGCATTCTGTCTTGCCACTTTAATTTTTTTCTCAAATAAATTTTGTGTGACAAAAATAACCGCAAAGTTTTGATGGTGGGATTTTTTCGTAAATAGTTCCGATAGATATTTTTCATCGATCGATAGTAATAAATCATCTAAGATTAGTAAAAATGGTTTTGAAAAATTTTTTAGTACTTCCTCTGTTGGCACTCCTGCCAAGACATGTACACCTGATCTTTGAAGTACTGGGACAATTGAACTCATCTCACCAAAACAATAAACTATACTCTTAGGCTTAGGATCTATTAACTCTTCTGCTTCTGCTATAATTTTTAATAATAAAGTACTCTTCCCACTTGAACTAGGTCCCGAAATAATCATCCCGAAAGGCATTTTAAATTTTAATTCTTTATTTGTAAATGTTAATGATTCCATTTTAATATTTGGTAAATTAAAAATTATTTCAATTTATAGTACGAATTATGATTGTGTCACTTTATTATTCACATACAAATAATTAATTGCTTCCATTTCTTCCTCTTCCATCTTTATTGCCTGAGACTTCAGTTCCTGAACTTTTTGAACATTAGTAGGCAGACCTGTCGTGGCAGCTGCAAGACTTTGATAGAAGTCATTCAACATTTTAGCATTTTCAGCTTCAGGGGTGAGCTGGGAAGGAATAGTTGGTTGAGGAGGTGGTAAGGATGGAATTGGAATTTGTGATATTGGGGGAGGTGATGGAAGCAGTGGTTGAGGTATTGGAGGTGGAGAAGGAAGTGGTATTTGAGAAGCCGGCGGAGCAGGAGTGAGAATGTGCTTCTTTGGTGGTGGGGGTTGCGGTAATTCATGCGTAATCTTTTGCAAACCGTAAGGAACATTGTAAACCCTTCCCTTGTTCTTGACCTAAATTTTTGGTATATATTTGACTATTTCAAAAGATTAATACCTTAAAGAAACAATGACCAGGAAGATCATAAACTGTGTCAAAAGGAATGAAACGATTTCCACCGATCCGTGTGCAATAAATTGTGACCCCGTCTTTGGTCACAATAAAATCCAATTCGACCTCTGTGCTTCGACACTCACGACAACGTCCTCCTTGATCATAGGGGATAAATCTTGGGGAAGAAAGTCGCGAACTTGAAATAGTTACACCATTCCAGGCAAGATTAAATTCTGCCTCTGGAAGTATTTGTGTTGAGAGGTACTTTTTATCATTCATGTTTAAGGCCATTATTAATTTTTAAATAATTTGTACAAATTTTCTGACTATATATACCCCTCTATGATAGATTAGCCCCGCCCCTTTAATTAGAAAATTTACAATTCGTATTTTACCAAAACAATCATTTTCTTTTTTAATAATTTATTTTAAATATTTTCTCAATTGAAAAATTTTTATTAATTTTATTTAAAAAATCATTAATTTTCAAATAATTTATTAAGACGGTCCCTCAAATGTATTTTTTCTCTTTCTCATATTACCATCATTTTTCCACTCTTGAATATATTCATTGAAAGATCCATTCATATACCTAAAATAAAATAAAGGTAATTAGTCCTCCGAGGCCGACCGGATAAGATCCCTGCCTACTCTATTTCATATTTAAAAGTACAGGTCAAAGGTTCGAGATCGGTCCGAGGATAAGATTTTTATTTAATTTGCTCCGACTTCTCTGTACGAATAATCTATCACAAATATTTGCACCCCATAAAAGATAAAATAATTGTTTTTTCGGGATATACTTAATACGAATTTAAACAAAGAGGAATTGAGAAAAAAGAATAAATACAATTAGTCGATAAATAAATTTTATTTAATGAAAACAATTAATTAAAGTTAGTGAACCAAATAATAAGTAGGTGAACGAACCAATTAATCCTTTCAGAAAACATAAATGGAAACGATCCACTTAACCCTTTAGAAAACAATTAGTCAATCAATAGTAGTGAAACAATTAGTCAATTATAGGGAAACGATCCACTTAATCCTTTGGGATTTTTGGGGGACCCTTTTGTCGGCGGGTCCTTTTGAGGGCGGGAGGACTTTGAGTAACAAACTTGGTTCACTAACTACTTATGGGTAATGTGTACAGAATATGAGGGTTTATTTTTTGGAAGCTTGACATTGTCATAGATAATTTCTGGCTTTATTTGTTTTGCCCATTCAAAACACAAATTTAATAAAAATATTTTGTTGTTTAAATAGCTATGTAAAGGAGCTTCGGCAAAACGAGCGGAATTAGGAATATTTGAAGAATCTGACTGTACTTTTGTTTCTACACATGAAGGTTATTCAAAAATTTTAAACTAAAATGAAAAACACTTCTACGAGTTTTCGAAAATTTTTATAATTTTGAGAATCAAAAACTCAAAATTTCGAAACAGTTTCAGCTTTAGATACCACAATTCGTCGAACAATTTCCACATCAGATGTCCGTGTAAGCAACAATCTGTGGAACAGGAGAAGACAATAATGTTCGTCAGCAATACAATGAAAACACAGCTTTTATTGATGGATCTATGGTAAGCATTGGTGCCCGGATCTGATCCGGATGAATTTTTTGGACTTTTGGGTCCAGGTTCCAATCCGTCTTCATAAAACTTTTAGCCGCGAACGATGTTCCGGCTTACAAAAATAATATACACCACTTCAAAAAAATTTAAACATTTAGACAAAAACTTAATGCTTATTAAAATTTAAAAACAAAATAATTTACATTTTTCAGAAAGGGTAAAAATAAATTTTTTTAGTAACCTAGATTATAGAAATTAATGAATAAACCAGCAAAAGTTCATAATTTTAAATGAGATCAGAGATTTTTGTTATAATTATACTTACATTCAGAGAAATCCAGTTTGATATGGTCAGGTATGAACGCAAAATTCTAATTTTTTTCAAAAAAATTTTTCAAGAAATTCAAAAAAATCAGGTTCGGAAAAAATAATTTTCGTGCACTATTAAGAATATTTAAAAATTGTGCCGACATTCTACAGGGTGCCTCAAAAGTCTTTGCCCGCATACTAGCTCTTTTTTATGATTATTTATCGTTATTCGACGCTATAAGTTGAAATAATTGAGACTAGTGG